GACAGAGATCACAAGCAGGCAGAGAGAGAGGAGGAAGCAGGCTCCCCGCTGAGCAGAGAGCCTGATGCGGGGCTTGATCCTAGGACTCTGAGATCATGACCTGAGCCGAAGGCAGCGGCTTAACCCACTGAGCCACCCAGGCGCCCCTGGTTTCCATTTCTGACCTGTTCTGCTCACTGTGGATTCTTCCTTATTTTATTTCACGTGGAACTTACTATCAAGGCCTGAAGTTCAAAAAATGATTGAAAAAACCCATCTGAGCAAAATTCAGTTTGTTCAGGGATTCAGTTTGGACACCAGAGGGCAGGAGAATCCCTTGGAGTGAAGGAACGGATCCTTGTCTTCCGTGAGTTTCCAGGCTGGTTGACATGGTAGAGTAATGATGTCATGGTAAGGCCAGGAGTTTAGGATTGACTTTTTGTCACAGGAAGTACAGAACCGTGTCAAAACTAGAAAACAAAAGCAGATGTGGTACACGGAGAATCGTAGTGTTTATTGCCCTCAGTGATATTGTCCGCAGGGGAGCACAACTTGAGAAGCAACCTTGATGAAAACATGAATGGGGAAATATAAGCGCAAAGGCAGTTTTTTAAAATAATCTATTTTAAAAAATTTAAGTTCAGTGCAAAGTGGCTTTCACTGAAGATGTGGACTTTTCGTACAAAGCAAATGATTTAGCAATGGTTTTATTAAAGTAACACGTGTGCCCCAGAATTACAGGAAAAGAAATGACAACCATAAGAAGGTGTCAACACTGCATTATTATCTGTGCAGAAAACAGATCAATCCTTGGGGAAACAATCTGTTTCGTTATTCACTTTGATCTCCTTGAAGGTAGAGTGGTGTGGAGGTTAATGGCATTTGATTCGGAGTTTCAGGTAGAGTTAAATTTAATCCCTGTCTTACCACTTCAGAACAAGAAAGACCCCTATGTTTAACTGAAAGTGTAAAACAAAATAAACAACTTCTGACAGCAACTAGAATAGTCGTTTTTGTGTCTCTAAATTCTATAAAGAGGACATAATCTTCCTGATCAAACTGAATGCTATTCTGCTGGCGTTTTTCTGGACTCCTTTTCTGTCTCCACTAAAAATATTGGCTCTAGTTTGGGCTATGAAGGGTTTACAGATCTTCCTACACTTACAATGGGGTTACGTCCCAATAAACCCATTCTAAGTTGAAAATATTGTAGGTCCAAAGTGCACTCACTACCCCTAACCTGGTCAACATGATCGCTTAGCCTAGCCAAACTTAACCGTGCACAGAACACTTACACTATTAGTCTACAGTTGGGCAAACTCCTCTAACACAAAGGCTATTTTATAATAAAGTGTTGAGTATCTCATGTAATGTATCGAATACTGTACTAAAGTGAAAAACAGGATGACTTTAAGTGCATGGATTGTCTAGCTTACCCTTGCGATGGTGTGACCAACTGGGAGCTGTGGCTTGGTGCCGTGCCCAGCCTCACCAGATTCTCGCACTACGTATAACCAGCCCAGGAAAAGATCAAAAGTGAAAATTCTAGGTATGGTTTCTATGGAATATGTTTGCTTCCACACCATTATAAAGTCTAAAAATCAGAAGTCAAACCTTCATCAGTTGGGAACTATCTCTAGTTACGAGGCATAATTATCAAACCTTAGTTACAGATTTGAGTGTACTTACACATGTAAAAAAGTATAGGAATTTCTTGAGAAACACTGATGTTTAGAAAGGATAAAGAAATAATTCTGTTAAATGACACTTTCTTGGGCCTGATATTTTTCCTTTTCTTAATTTTCAAAGAGAAAAAAAGAAAGGTGAGGCATCTCTGTGGTTGTGTGGATCCAGCCTATTTCTTGGATAATTTTTGAATTCTAAGAAAATATGTACAGTGTAAACACTGTATACTTTGAGAACTAAGTAGCAAAAACTGGTGTGTTTACTGTGATGGGACGCTTCTTTTCTCATTGATGAAAAACTCTCCTTGCTGACTTATGCATTACTCATGGTGGGGGAAAGTCTCTGATTCAGATTTCAAGGAAGTGGCTGTGCTCTTATGAGGCGAGTACTGGGACATGTAATTTGTCTTTCCTTTTTTTTTTTTTTTAAGATTTTATTTATTCATGAGAGAGAGAGAGAGAGAGAGGTGGAAGGAGGAACAGAGGGAGAGGGACAAGCAGATTCCGTGTTGAGCACAGAGCCTGATGCTCCGCTCAATCTCATGACCCTGAGATCATGACCTGAGAGGAAACCAAGAGTCCGACACTTAACCGCTGAGCCACCAGGGCTCCCTGAACGTGATTCATCTTCAAGCCTCCTATGGCATTTCACAGCTCTTCAGGCAGGAGGAGAGAAGTGGTGACAGGTCCCTTGGATGCACCTCTAATCTACACTGTAATTGGAAAAAATATGCAATCTGGATGCATTAGCATGTGACCATTTCATGATTAATTTCAATTTTTTAATGTATATATATATATACACACTAATATACATATACACATGTGTGTGTGTATGTGTGTGTGTGTGTGTGTGTATATGCATGTAAATCGTTTTCTCAGGGGTGCCTGTGCGGCTCAGTCGATTAAGGGTCCCACTCTTGATTTTGGCTCAGGTTGTGATCTCAAGGTCATGAGATCGAGCCCTGCATGGAGCCTGCTTATGATTCTCTCAGTCCTTCTCCTACTGTCCCTCCAACCCCAAAAAACCATTTTCCGTAATAAATAGTTTCAGTCCCAAATTCTCCAATAACATCTAGATGACTGAATTTTTTTTCTTAATGGCCTGAATGGGCCTAGTATTTTCCAAAATAAACTCATGTAGAAGCAGCTCTGAATGTGATGATCTATGATACTTAACCCCATAATCCTAATATGGTGAAATTTCCCCAACTAGAGTTCCCTCTGAATTTTAACTGTCTTCCTCAAAAGCCCCAAATATATATATAATGTAAACTGAAATTCTACATATACTCATATATAATATACTATATAATATAATCATTATATATATATTATACTATAGAATATACTATAGTACACTATAGTTCAGTGTATATATATATATATATGTATATATATATATATAATATACACTCAGTAAAAGGTATTCTATTCTATCAAGGGGGGAAATAAACATATTTTAACATAAAAAAATTTTAATATAATGTCATCTACAAAGACTAAGGACTTGGACTCTGCTGCCAGAGTGTCTGGATTTAAAACTCAGGAGCACTACTCATTAGTTCTGTGACCTTGGGCAAGTTACTGCACCTCTCTGTGTCGGATATGGCTCATCTGTAAAATGGCATTAATGACAATAGCACTTGTCTCTTAGAATCATTATGAAGTTAAGATTTGTAAAACCTTTAGAAGAGTACCTGTACATCCTAACCTGTAAAGAAGACGTGCTATCTATCTATCTATCTCTATATATCTATAATGGAATACTACTCAGCCTTCAAAAAGATTGAAATCTTGCCATTCACAAGGACATGGCTAGAACTAGAGGGTATTATGCTAAGTGAAAAAAGTCAGAGGAAGACAAATACCATATGATTTCACTCACATGTGGAATTCAAGAAACAAAACAGATGAACACAGGGGAAGGGAAGGAAAAATTAAAAAAGGTGAAAACAGAGAGGAAGACAAACCATATGAGACACTTGACTATAGGAAACAAACTGAGGTTGCTGGAGGGGCAGTGAGTGGGGAAATGGGGTAACTGGGCAATGGATATTAAGGAGGGCACATGATATAATGAGCACCAGATGTTGTATGTAACTGACAATCACTAAATTCTACCTCTGAAACTAATAAAACAGTACATGTTAATTAAATTGAATTTAAATAAAAAAATTTGTAAGTGAATCCTGAAAATCATATTATTGCAAAAAAACCCTTTTTCCACAGAACTGTGATCACCTTATAATCAGTCCAGAAAACATACTTGAAACGTATTCCTATTGAGGAATTACAGCAGGGAAAATAGACATGGTTGTAAAGTGTGTTTCCCAAATTTAATTAGGCTATGTAACAGGAAGATGAAAAGAGAATTCAAAAAGCCTGGCCACCAACTGCTTTCTGTTTAAGAGCAAACATATGAAAAGACAAAATTCAGTAGAGTTGGATGGATTAAGTCAACATTTTTTTTTTTTTAATTTTATTTATTTATTTGAGAGAGAGTGAGAGAGAGAAAGAGAAGCAGACTCCGCTGAGCAGGGAGCCTGATGTGGGACTCCATCCTGGGAATCCAGGATCATGACCTAAGCTGAAGGCAGTTGCTTAACCAACTGAGCCACCCGGGTGCCCCAAGTCAACAATTTTTTGCAGAGATTTTGATAATTACTTTAGATCTCCTGTTGGAAATACTCATATTGAAACATATGTGGGGAAAAAAGGGCATTTATCCCTTTTTATTAGGTCAATTAGCTCATCCTAAAATATTTAAATAACTTAAACTGTTTTAATCACATCAGTGAAAATAAAACAAAACAAAAACCTTCCATTTACAATGCAAATACAGATTTTACACGGCAGTTTTTTTTTTTTTACAGATGCCACATAATATAGAAATAAATGAACTGTTGTAATTGATGTAGTCTTTGAAAAGTAGAAATGAAGGCCTGAAGACTCTAGTTACATATAGAGCTGTATGTGGGAAATAAATATTTATTTGGCATTTTCATTTAACCTGGAATATTTGTCATTCTATATATTCAAGATAAATCATCTTGACTCTGTAGACTTGCTGCAAATAAGCACTATATTTTCAGCATCACCTGCTCCTTATGATACAACCCACTGTTTCCTGTAGAAGTTAAAGCTCTTACTCAAAAGAAAAAGGTCAAGTTCCAGGGAAGGATGGAAACGCTAACACATCACTGTGAATAAATAATAGGTATTTTTAAACCCACAGTACATGTTGCTGTGGTGAATGGCATAGTTTATTATAATAGAATTAGGAAGAGGATATGGGCTCCAGAAAAGAATTTGATTGTGAAATTGGATACATACTGTGCCAGGTCGGGGGTAAGGAATTCTTCCATCATACTGCACCCAACGGTGGTCTGCACTTTCCTTATGAGCATAGGGACCATTGAAAACTGCTCTGATGTCAGCCATGCTGTACACACAAACAGCTGAGCCTTTGAAGATGGAGCTGGAAAAAAGCAACATGATCCAATCACTCCCTGCACGTCTGTCACTGTACATTTATTTATTGAGCACATATTATAACCAGGTGTGTGGACAAACTTGGGCAGCTCATTCCATCTGAGAGATGCTGCAGACAGAATGTGCGGACTTCTTTAAGAAGCTTACAACAAAGTAATCCTGAAAAAATGTGCTAGCAGTTACATTACAGATACCTATAGTAACAAGCGAAGCAAACACACAGATGGGTCCCCAGTAGAGGGCTGTCTGGTTATGTTTTCAGAGAGAAGGGGCCATCTACATTGACGCTAGAAAAATGAGGACAGAAGAAAATATGCAGAAAAGAGTATCAAATTTATGTACATGCTTTTGAGATTTATTTGGAGTTCTTGCAGCATTTAATGCCTTCTAAAGAACTTACAAAATAAAAAAGTTATATTACCTATTATTTTTTCATAGAGGAACACTTCAGGTATATAATTAATAATTACCTCATTTCTGTTTTCTTCAAGAGAGTGAATGTCCATAAATATTGGCTATTTATAATTTCCTAATTTCTATTAATTCAAAAAAATGTTGAAATTCTTTTGTGCTCTACCCGAATTTTTGAATTTCTTCTTGAATTTATGTATGTAACTTATGTGATACTTAAAATTAACCTTAATTACATAGGATTGGAGGACACATAATCCAGAAGCAGAAAAGCTCCCTGGGAATTTCACAAGTTTTTGTAAATTAGTGGTGAAAACTGTTAACACTGTCCTCAGATGTTTCATTTTCTTTTTCTTTTTAAATTTCTGGAAAATAAAAGACATCTTCTCTGCATCTAAAATTTTTATTGATTTCTGTTCATGAAAATGAGATCACCCTTTATGATCTACGAGACATAATATCTCAGCACTACACAAGCAAGCCAAGGATTCTCTAGCATGGGAAACTCAATCATTAATATTCTTGGAATAAGGGGCGCCTGGGTGGCTCAGTCAGCTAAGCATCTGCCTTAGGCTCAAGTCATGGTCCCGGAGTCCCAGAGCCCAGGGATCGAGCCCAGCATCCGGCTCCCTGCTCAGCAGAGAGTCTGCTTCTCACCCTGCTCTTGTGCTCTCTCTTACTTTCTCTCTCTCTCAAATAAGTAAATAAAATCTTAAAAAAATATATAATCTTGGAATGACATTAATGGGAAGCATTGGGAGCTCAGGGCACACAGGGAGCTAGGAGAAAACTCTGCTAAGAAGGGCGGTGATCCCCCCATAAAAATCACATCCTCTGCCTAGGATATTTTAAAGGAATGATACATCATGCTTTATGGTGTTTCTGTTGTCACAGATTAATTACATCTTCTCATGGGACAAAGGATGGGACACTGCATCCCAATATTACCTCGTTCCTCGGGGCGGCATCAAAAACAGAATAATAAAGTACACTAAGAACAAAGGGTTGACTTGTAACTTCACACTCTGGGTGGGCAGAAAACTTGGTAAGAGAAAAAAAAATTACTATCTTGGGGCTATATTTCCCTGGCACATGTCTATGCCTTGTGTTGGAACACACAGTGACTTCAAAGACAGTTCTGGGAATGGAAAGATGCCAAGAGAACTAGCGCTGAGATACTTAACTTGAGTAACTACAGGCACTTGCTCTTCCTGCCTCTTTTTAGTTCAGATATGAATTTGCAGAAAAATGGAGTCCAAAGAGCAGCATTCTTTGGGCATCTTCTTTATTTTCATTTTAAAATTTCACAGTATTTTGTTTTCTGCTGTCATCTGAACCAAAACTACTGGCATAAGTTGTAAGGTGAACTGAATGAAGGTAATCCCACAGAAGAGAAATTATACTTTGCCTGCAGACTATTTTAATAACTTATTCGAAGGGGGGCAGTAAGACTATTTCCCTAATACCAATACTGCCAATTCTTCCAATACTAATATCAATAAAAACAACAGTGATAGCAGAGCTGTGGAAAAAGTAAAAAAGGAGTTCAAAGAAGGTGTTGCAGGGAGTAATGTGTAGCAGGAATAAGGCTGTCCCATGTTCTAATATAAGTTACTGAATTAAATGAAATTAATATTAGGTAAAATTATGTAAGGTCCATATATTCTTTGAGAAAGCTTCACAGATGCTAGGACAACTTTTAAGGAAGTCACGGAGTCTCAGTGACAAGTGCAGGGCAATATTACATGGAAAGAAGACAAAAACACAGGAAAATGAAGAAAACACCTTTGGTTCTAGTCCCGTTTTTAATACCGGTTGGCCCGTCTTCCTGGCGCAAGTCATACAAACTTCCTTTGCCCAAGTTAGTAGAGCAAAGAGTGTCACATCTCATGACTGAGGCATGTATTTCTGTAATACTACTTCTATGTCATGCAGCTTAACCTTTTTGTTATGGTGAGTATATGCAGGCACCTTTGCATCCTGTAACTTTAGTCTGGAAATTTAACTCGCAGATGTACTTGCTTACTTGCTCATATAGGGAAAGAGCCGTATGTACAAGTTTAGTCCCTGATGTGTTATGCGTACGGCCAAGCCCTGACACAATGGAGATGTCTATGTACAGGAAATTGGCTAAATGAATTGTGGTAATGGATACAGAAGTACTCTGCTGGTATAAAAAGAACAAAGAGACATTTTATGTTTTGATATTGAAAGAGTTCTAGGAAACGCTATGTGAAAGAATAAAATGAAAAATGGGTATTTTTTTTTTCCACACAAAAGGAAGGGACCGAAAAATACAACTGTATTTCCTTACATATGCCTTACAATTCTATAGAAGAATTCCAAGTGTTGTTGTTGTTTTTTGTTTTCTTTTGTTTTTAAAGATTGTATTTATTTATTTGACAGCCAGAGACAGCCAGAGAGGGAACACAAGCAGGGGGAGTGGGAGAGGGAGAAGCAGGCTCCTGATGAGCAGAAAGCCTGATGCGGGGCTGGATCCCAGGACTCCAGGATCATGACCTGAGCAGAAGGCAGACACTTAATGAATGAGCCACCAAGGTGCCCCTTGTTTTGCTTTTAACTTACCTGGTTGTGGTAAAGACTCCATAGACCACAGGATTTCTTTCATCTCTTGTGGGGAGTAAGTAAATATCCTCTATTAATGGAAGAAAAAATAACAATTCATTATATTTTTATATTTTAGTATTACATATTTGCCTTATCTTTAAGAATACAGTACTTCTGAGACTCTAACAGATATAAAATTCAGATAACAGTGGAAGTTGTTACATTATGACATAAGAAATTAGGGGTTAAAGACCGGTTTTCTCACTAGCTATGTGGCACTGAACTGGATATCAAGCCTCTTAGGTGTCTATTTCAATCACCTATAAATGGGATGATTCGCTAATAATCTCCATGACTATTCCCAGTCAGAAGTATGTGATTTCTGACAGAAGAGTAACTAATAACATAGGGTGTTTTTACCCTCCGATGTAAAAAAAGGTCTTGCCCTGTAATTGTGTCAACTTATTAATAATTCAATTATCTATTTGCTAACAATATAAAAATCGCTACACAAGTTAATTACCTGCAAAATACTTACTCAGTATTTTGTAAATACTTAAGCAGTATTGATACCAAAATATGTGTAAACAACCTCCATTAAAAGGTTATTGAAGATGTGAGCATGCTTATGTACCACATGAGGAATCAGCCATGACTAGTGAATATATACTTTAAATACCGTATGGCAAAAATCATTCAATGATAACATCATTTTTACACAGCAAGGCAAAAACAAGTTCAAAAGATAAGATTTGATGATGCTAACTTTATATATAGCTGAAAAAGTTCCTTCTAGAACTAGCTTTGAGAGGGGTAAAGATGGGAAATGCAAGAGAATAACCCATCAAACACTTCTGAGTATTGTTTTTTTTAAGTCGGAGTGAGTGAGTTCACCCAGTCTCCCCGGCTCTCCAGCAGAGGGCATCCTCAGAATAAAGAACCCAAGTTCCGGCTGCCTACAGACTGCCGCGCCTTCCAAAGTAAAAGGCCACATGGAGAATGAATGGATTCTGGTGAACCTTTGCTGGTAGCTTTTTGTCTCTTGCTGCTGCTTTGCTTCCTCCTAACTAGGAGGATGCTTACAAAGAGAGGAATTGCTTCATTACAACGTGCTCTGAAACCTAGAGCACCTCCATGTTCTTTGTGTGTGTGAATTTAGTAATAACACTCCTGCAAGCTGTCCTGGGCTCTATGGGGGGGGCTAAAATAAAATAAATGCTGAATTTATTAGGCAGTAGGTCATTTTTTAAGAAAAAAAAAAGGAGCATGTGACTCACGAAGCTCATCAAAATGAGTGTCTGCCCCATCATTTCCAGGAATAGAGCAAACTAATCTGGCTTTAAGAAAAGTCGTCCATTTGTTTATCAGGCTGCGTTGTCCTCCTACATCGTTCTGGGGGGAAAAAAAAGGAAAATAGTAAAGATACAGATTTAACGTCATTGTTTACAAAGACAGGGAGTCTACATGTTTAACGCCTTGAACTTTCAAATAAGGGAAAAGGCAGTTTTGTCCTTTCACATTCATGCTTTTGTCATGGTTGAATGCCTATGGTGTGTACAACACGGCTCTCCTGAATGAGCTGCTGGCAGGGCTACCCAGGAAATGACTGAGTCCTGGAATCAAATCTCACCTCTGCCACTTTTTGTTCCATGGCCTACAAAAGGCTACTTAACTCTCCCAAGTTTTTGTTTTCTCACTGAAAAAAATGTGAATAGTGCCTTGAAATTGATTATTTTGATGATTAAATGAAAAAATGTGTGTACAATGCTTAGCATAGGGGTAGAAAACTTAACATTCAATAAATCCTAGCACTGACTTGTGTATTATACACATGATAAAGATCATGATGTACAGCCTTTAGAAATATGCTATAGACTTAAAAAATAGTCTTTTTCCAAAATTAGTGTCCTATTAATTAAGCAATAAGGCAACATAAACATACACATAAAACCAACCTTGTTTTAAAGGCTAATTGATGTCTTTCCAGAATTTCTTTCACTGTGAAATAGTTCATTAAATTGTTCTTTAGACACTTACCAAGCACACGCATTTAAATCAATTCAGTAAAATAAATTCAATAACTCACCATAAAAAGATCTGTTTCTTATTTTTAATTTAATAGTTTCCCATGAACACTAAATTCATACAATTTGTTATCTGGCCAGACTAGATCTGCTATGTTTACAATAAGTAAGATGAGACTGTTTCATGGCATAAATACTGTAAATACTTAAACTTTCAAAAATTACTTCTGGAGTCACTATTCCCATTCATGTACTTACATCTAAATGTAAATTATATAAAAATGTTTATCCATCATGCAATCTATGTTTTATAAAATTAATAAAAGTTCACTATGAAATACTAACTCTGAATATTTCGGAACTGTATTCCCTGTGCTTCTTTTATCTCTGAAAATTATATGAAATTAGAGAAAAGTATCTAAATAGCTCCTCCAAACAGGAGAATTCAAAGTCGGAGAAATAGTTGCTATTCTTCAAGAAAGGGAGAGGAAGAAAGGGAAGGGGAGGGAAGACAGAGATCCCCTTTGCGTATTAACTTGGGTGATATGGAAACCCAAATTCCAGATGATATAATCTTAGTAACAAAGCAAATCTCAGAAGGCTATAGATTTGTAGGAGCGCTCAGAACACAGTGAGGTCCTGACACCATAGGCTGGAGCTCTCTTTATAGCCTTAGCACCTAACACCCTGGGTGCACCAGGGCACCTAGAGTGAATGAATCCCATTTTATTTTGTTTTGCTTAAAGATTTATTTATATATTTGAGAGACAGAGAGAGAATGCACTGGGGAGAGGGACAGAGGAAGAGGGCAGGAAAGAGTCTCAAGCAGACTCGCCTCTGAGCACGGACTCAGACCCAGGGCTCCATGCCACGACCCTGACATCATGACCTGAGCCCAAATCAAGTCAGACACTTAACGCACTGAGCCACGCAGGCACCTGTGAATCCCATTTTATATCCTCCTCTGCTAAACACCAGAATACTTTTCACCAATAGCTCTGTAGACATAAGTAATAATTTTTATATTCTTTATTTGTTCTTTAGGTTTATAACAATGTGAAAAGAAAAAAAAACAAATTTAAAGACATTCAAATTCAATAAAATATTTCCTATAGGAACTAAGATTTGCACTTAAACAAAATACTATGCCTCACAATTTGCGCTGTGTCTCGCTGTTTTAAATTTTAAATGATCCAAATCAGTGTGCATTTCGTCTTGGAACACATGTCTCCCTGAGTTCATGTGGACTGGCAGATACAGAAGAGAACCTCCATGATAAGTACAGCGATTGTTTGGAAACTGGACCAAAAAAAGACCTTTCTGGCAATAGTATTTTGACACTGATACTGTTCAGAATTTCTGACATGTGGCGATAAAGCAAAGCAAAAGAACATTTAGTTGATTTTCTCATAATTTTTCATTCTTCTCAGAAAATGCACTCCCTATTCCTTTCATCCAACACCTACTGTGCATGTCACTAATGCCCTGCTTATCAGGTGTTTAATAAGTACATGTTCGATGATTAGTGAGTAACTAAAAATACAAGATAAAATTGATAAATGTCCTTTGAAAGTATAGATAAATACCAGAGGAGTTAAGTCTCCTCTGAAATGTCTTTGTAGTGGAAAAAATGAGGACAGGCATCGCTATGGAGTTAGACTTAATATTGTTCTTAAAATGAGAGGCGAGTTCAGACATGCAGAGGTTGGACTATCCAGGAAATATTCTAGGTACTAGAAACTAGGGGGAAAGGGCAACGGGTGGAACACTTCATAACATGTACAGAGAACCAGGACAAATTTCGTTTAGATGAAGACTGGGATAAATGAAAATAGTGGAGGGAAATGTTATAAAAGAAAATTCGAGACAATCCAGGAAGGCTTTCATACCAGATCAGAGCATATTTATGTCATTTAGTAATATGCTATTTCATATATAGTATTACTACAAATAAATGAAAGAAAATGAATACATGATCTATTTCATATAATAACCCTCTAGAACCAATGTGTCTATACTTGCTGTTTAATTTATGTTTTGTATACGGTGCTTCTATTGTTGTAGTATCATTGCTCAATAATAAAAATAATCAATATTTAAGCTAGCTATTGGATGATTAATGATGGCTGCAGCTGTGAAGACAGATTTATCTAGATATGACCTTTATTCCTTTATTTTTTACTGCTAACATCCTCAGATAATTTAATAAATATAAATCCAGATGTTAATATGAATAGGCAAAAACACGGATGCTTCCTTCTATTAATGATGAATTCTGTGTTAATGTTTAATAGGATTCCAGTGAGAAAATATGTTATCTGGAATCACTCAGAAAGAAAGAGATTTTTAAATAAACTTAAAAATAAAAAGTAAGATATCTTCTCATCTTTCTCATGAACCTTGATTTATATCTTTTTACATTCACATGTGTTCTGTCTTTTGTATTTTTATTTTAGCAGAGCCCTACCCGTATTAAGCCAAGCTCTCGTTAAAATCTTTCAATTTTAATGCACTTACAAATTTATAATATTTAAACATTTTCATTGCTTTTATTTGCACATTTTGAGTTAGCAATAAATACTAAAAATAGTGTTGATTCAATATACATTAGGAAATATATCCACCGTCATGAATTTAATGCCAGGGACTATGTTTGGTTTACTGCTTTACCCCTAGCAGAGTCGTTGCTCAAATTACTTTGTTAATTGAATAAACAGATATATCAAATATTTGCTCCAGGACATTCCTCTATCAGGTATCTACATCACTACTTCCATAAAAATTAGCAATCACATCCACTTATAAACATTTTATGAGATAAAAGCAACAATAAATGTCCCTTTTCAAACAGTGTCCCCCTTTTCCATTTGTAGTTATCATCCATATTCAAGACAAACCATGAAACAGTTCTAACTATTCTACAAGGTTCAAATTTGTTGGACAGGAAAGGGACTTATACTGTAGCCTGTATATGTGTGTGTGTGTGTGTGTGTATTTATTTATTTATTTGTCGGGTTAAATATATATATAAATATATATAAATATATATAAATAATGTATAATATAATATAAATATAAATATAAATAATATATAAAAAGATATAGAAATAATATATATTATTGTATATAATTATATATTAAATTAAATCATATATAAATTATATATAAATCAAAAATATATAATATATATAATATATATAAATAATATAAAAAATATATATATTTAACCCGACAAATGGAAATTGCAATTCTCTGAACAAAAAGAATCTTTAAATGTTCTTGCCAATCCTCGAGCACCCTTTCCTGGCCCCTCAAGGAATAAAATGATAAAAAAAAAGCAAAAAAAAAAAAAATCCAGGTCAAAAATGAAAGCCACCTACTCTCAACAGGGAAAGAAGTATAATTTCTGGGATAATAGTTCTCAGGGATGGATTATAAGCATTTAATGACTGGATAGTAACTCTTAGAGACATCCAGAAGCATGACCTGGAATGGCAAAGTTCAATTCTCAAGGAGTTGTATTTCTCCTGTAGGGAAGGAAGTGTCAGTTGACTGACTTGACCACCTCTCAGTCCCTGGATTTGTTTGCAAATCCACAAAATCCCCCCTGAGAACTTTAAGCGCTGAGGAGGGCTGAAAGGGAGGTAACCACTTTTGTACTAAATTGTCACCTCTTTGCTTGTTTTTGTGAAGTTCTAAAGAACACAACTATCTCACTAACATAATAGATTTATTATTGAGATGTCAGAATCAGCAGCTTTTAGTCACCGTCTCTTCTGTGCCTCCACTCTAATCACAGCTTCTTTGTGGTCAGATTGCCAAAAGCCTTGACATTCTCTACACTAAGATGCAGATGAAAGTAACAAAGAAATTAAATGTAAACAAGTGAGACCACATGGGTTCCATGTGGGGGGTGAACACAGAGGATGACTGTTCTCTTATTCTCTATGGTTTTTTATATGTTTGTGACAGTTCTTAATTTTAAAAACAGAAAAGACAGAAGATGAAACAAAGCACAATTTAGAATCCTTCAGCAGCTTGAAAATAAACTCTCTGGGCCAGGTGGTCGAGTGATGGCTGCATATTATGAAATACTATGATTTCCACTTATAGGCTACTGATGGGTAGATCAGTCAGAAGGCAGGTTAATGGTGATTCCATTTTGCTTCTACTGTCCCAGCAGATTCAAGTCCTTATAAATCTTACATAGACATGTGGAGTAGCTACAAACTGTCACACATGAACTTTTATTGAGTATGTCTTTTGACCTTTGGGTCACTATGCTGGGTTCATCTGCTAAACACAATTTTATCTGTATACATCATCCTCTTTGCGGATCTCTTAGCACTTTATAAATATGATCCTTTT